CAAGTATTTACTATTTAAATCATAGTTTACACTTAGAAAAGCAGGAAATCCCAGGAGGGGGACACCTGGTCCCTGGGAGAGCCAAATCCACAGAGCCAGCAGCTGGACAAGGGCACCCTTGCAGGTCTCCCACAAATCCTGACAGGAACGTGCCCAAGCTGGCAGATTGAGGAGCCGTGGGTGTGGTGGGCACTGCCAGCCTGGTGCTGTTGGCACAGGGAGATTGGCACTAAGCCAGAGTGGGACACCACGAGAAATCCTGGGAGCTCTCTGGCCTGCATGGAATATCCTCTGGCCTGCCACACTGAGACATCTTCCCATGCCTTCACTCACCCTGCTTGGTAGGAGAAAGCAAGAAGGCAAAGATAAAACACTTATCCATATCTGCAGGATAACCCTGGTCAGTACCTCTCCCTGCATGGATCTATCTATGGACACAGATAGGTGCATGCAGGGTTGCATGGGGTTTTTTCCATGGATTTTTCACATTATAAAGAAGCCTTTAGTTCCTCCCCAGAAGAAATTTGCCTGCATGAGCAGTCTCAGTCTTTCAGACAATCCAAAGTCACTGCTGACTGTCCCTGCAGCCTCAGGAGGCAGAGATGTGCTTGCTGACCCCTCCACAAGCAGGGGGTGTTTGCTGCCTCTCAGACAGGGGCAGAGCTGAATCATCTGCACTTTAAGGCTTGGACAAGCCTTTTGTGGCCTTGACCACTCAACCTTGTGGGAAGGTTGAGTATTTGCTGAGCAGGCTGAAGCTTCTGAGCCTGATTTCAGAACATCTATTGAGTGGTTTATCAGGGATGCCACTGACCTGGGTCTGAAAGTTCTCATCTTCAGGAAAATATTCCCAAAATGAGACAATACAAAGAGTTCACACTTGAAACTTATTTGTTAAAAAAAAATAAACACCAGAGATCTCTGCTTTTCCCAAAGTATCTTCTCTGACCTGCCTCAATTGAATATTTGTCAATGACTGAAATTCCCACACCTTTCCATGGCAGAGAATCTTCTTCCCTCTCCTCCTGACTCTATCTGCCAGACACTGTGGCTCTTTCAATGTCTCCTTGTCATTTCACCAATTATTCTTCCTTATGAAAGTATTATCATAATTTTTATATATATTTTTTTATATTTCTTGACATCCCCTATCTTTCCAAAGCTCTCTCGATTGGAGATTTACTTATTTGCCATCTTGCAGAGTGCATCAGCTGTGGCTGCTTAAATTAAGGGGTTTCAATCCTGATCTCAATACCTCAGATGGGAAAAAAGGAAGGGCTTTCTGTCAGTTTTCTCCTAAATCAATGACTCTTAAGGAGTCTGTTCTGCAGGTGACTTGCCTGGATTTAAAGGCAGGAGAAAAGAACTGTACAAGGCCATGATGAAGCAAGAAGACAGAACTTTTTAAAAGTGTGTGGACAGCAGCTCTCCTCCTGAAATGTTCTTTGCCCAGTCTTGGAAAAGGAAGAAAATACACTATTGTTTGGGTTTGTTTTCCACAAGCAGGGCTGTTTTGAGGCTGCATGTGAGACTTAAATTCTAATCTAGAGCTCTGCATAGCAATCACGATGTGATGTCACGATGGAGATCTGCACTGAGACTCTGTAGAGGGCAGGAGTTGTTCGTTGGAGTTGTTTGTTGCAGTCCTCCTGCTGTGCCTGTCGAGCTCTCTGTGCAGGTAGACAAAGGCTTTGGCTGTGGATTCTACCACTTCAGCCCAGGGAAAGCAAGTTTGGAGCAAAGTTCTTGTTAAGGACCAGGCAAAGCACTAGAGCCAGGTTTCCATGGGGACTGTGGGATGCTGCAGATGGGTTTGGTTCCTGACAGCCCTGAGAAACATGAGGTGGAAGCATCTCTGAGTGCTGGTGAGGGCAGGGCATGTTTCCCAGCTCTCACCTCACTCTTCATCTGCCCCAGAGAGGGGAAGGGGATGAGCACCTACCTGCTGCTCCTGAATGTGGTGTGATGAGATGTGACAGCTCAATGTGACTGAGCTCCTTCAGCAAAAGTCCTTCCTTAAATTCTTGCCTCAACTTCTGGATCCTGAACCAGGGATCACGATGGGAGCTTCCTCCCCCGTGTGTTTTGGAAAGCAGTGATGGTTCTCCTGGACCAGTAACAAACTGGTAGCATGATGGGGCCACAACATTTTCAGCACAGTTGCCTCCATCTCCACAGAGGGGCTGGCAAACATAGGCTGAGGAGGGGTGATAGGACACAGGACCTGTCAAGGGGGAGAGAGGCCAGAGCACTGTTCTGGATAGTTTCATCTTATTTGTCTGCCTTGCAAAACTAATTACCAGACCTGTTCTTGGAAGGCTGTACCTATCTTTGAAGCATCCTTGGCCTTTGTTTTATAATCCCAAACAGCATTAAATGTGAGTTGGGAAGGCACCTTATCAGGTGCATCTCCTTGGAAAAGCTTGAAAGGCTTTTGTCACACTTTCCTTTATGCATGCTTTGAATTTATTATTCCACATTGCCCAGACAATCTCAAGCTGGAAAATATATTAGAAAAGGAGATGATGCCCCATCCTGAGGAGAACTGACAATAATGTAGGTGCTACATCTGTGTCACAGAACCCTTCTGCCAATGTGTCTGCACTGAGTGCAGGCACTGACTCATCTGTAGGACCAGTCTCGTGGCTTTGAAGGAGCTGCTTGCCTGGTATGATAAATGCCCCTGGAGTTGGTGGCAGAGGGGGAAGCCAAATCAGCACAAGAGGTTGGTACTGGAGATGGATTCTGATTTTCCTGGCTTCCAGGCTCAAGCCTGATCAATAACCCACATTGTCTTGAGCTGTGTAAAATCTTCCCCATGCCCAAACTGGAATGATGCTGGACCTGGGAGGAGACAGCTGTTACAGGCACTCTGTGTGTGCCCAGCATTCAGCATCCTCAGAGCTCCCAGAGGTGGTTGGGTGCCTTCACTCCAGGCCAGCCAAGTGCAGCAGCAAGTGAGAGCAGCAGTTACTGCACTCCATGGCACACTCATGGGCTGCAGGGCTGGGGACACCCCTGGGTGGGGACCAGCAGAAAGGTGACAGTCCTGAGTTTGGCCACTGTGGGTTTTTCAAACCACCCGTGTGCATCAGGTCTTCTGCATCTCCTTGGAGGACAGGAAGCTTTGGGCAAAGATGATTTGCTGGTCTAAAGGCTCTAACAGCACTTGGCTCTGAAACCCCAGCAGCCTGCAGCTTCCCGCTGTCAGAGCAGCATTGCCTCCACGGTCACACACAGGGAACACTGAATTCTTTTGACATCTCGCCATGCAGACTCCCCACGGACACCATGAGCCAAGACAGCTCTCCCTGGCTCCCACGGCCCCCCCGGTTGTGAGCATGAAACCAGGCTGGTGAATAATTCTGCTGATGCACAGAAGAGAAAATCCTGTTCTCTCCTCCTGAGGCAGGCTGGCAGGGTTAATGAGAGGAAGAGGCTGTGACAACTTGATTTTTGTGGCTGAAGTCAGCAAATCTGGCTCCTGGGACACATGGGAACAGGCAAGGAGCAGGAGCCACTTTTGCACAGTCACTTCTTGGAGACAAGCAGGGCTTCAAAAGAAAAATTCTTTGCAGGATGTTGCAACTTGGGAGGAGGAGTTAAAAAAACACTCAAACAAAAAACCCCACAAGTTCTGTAGGGCTGAGAAATGCAGAGTTAAGGAATGAAGTTTCCAAAAAGCTCAGTACTTGCATCTCTTGGTGCAGACAAGGTAAATCTCAGCAGCATGAGACAATGCTGGCAATTCCCAAGGACACCAAAGCTCAGCGTGGTTAGTGATGGGTGCAAGTGTGAGTTCCACCCGTGCCATGCAGGGGACCCTCCCTGTCCACAGCAGGTCAGGGATCCACCATGGCAGCATCATCTGATACCATGCAGGTACCAGCAGCCACAGGAAGGAGGGAGTCTCATACACACCCTGCCAACACAGTCACTAATAGTTGCAGAGGATACTGGATTATCACACAGCCTTGTTGGAAAATCTGACTGGGTCTATCTTCAGCTCCTTCTGTGATGCAGAGGTTGGGGCAGGAGGATGGGACTGGGAAATGGGCAAGTATGGACACCATGCCCACAACACAACAAGGGGTGGGAGGTTGAGTTACTGGGATGTGCAGCAGGGACCATCATGCCCACACGCTGGACAAGGAAATGCTGAGAGCTTTTAAGGGCCTTGCTCTTCAAGGTGCTTGCTCCCTCATTCCCCTAGTGCTGACACCCAAGAGCAGCTCTGTAACTCTTTCTGCTGAGCATGGCACTATGGAAAGCAGAACACAAGGTCCCCTCCACACAGGGACAGTCTTTTCCAGATCAGCAAAGACCTCATGGCCCTATTCACGAGCTGGGCTGCTGGAGGAGGTGCCCAGCCTGTGCAGTTTTGCCCTGGCATGCTCCTAATTCGGCTTCCCTGCTTGAATCCCAAGTGACAGGAAACCTGGCAGCTCCCAGAGGCCATCCCTGCCTGCTGGGGTCTGGGGCAGCTAAAAGCAGCCTCCAGGAGGGAAGTGGTTTGGAGGGCAATGTTTGCCGGTGATGAGCACACAGCCACGCTGTGGGAGCACTGTGGCAGATGGAGCTGGCAGCCAAGTGCCTGTCCTGCTTGTTTTGGCTGACTTCAGAGACCTCTGGCTTTTCCTAGTAGCACTTGGATATGCCGATACTCAGGAGACCTGACCAGGCACATTCAGACAGCGCTGAAAATATCTTCCCTGCAGGCAACAGAGGCAAAGGGGAGCCAACAGCTGGACTCCCCAAGAGACAGGGACTAGGCTGCAGAGGGTTGGTTGTTTTGCTTGTTCTCTGTCAGCCAAAAATGCATCCTGCAGAGCCACTGCTGTGGGATATTTAAAGGTGACCCCTTTGGGCAGCAGGTCTCAGCTTTGGAGGGGCTACGAGGTTCAGTGTCCTTGCTTTGTGCAAGGCTGAACGTGGCTCCCAGCTGAGCGTGGGCTCCCCCAGCCCTTGCCTCCTAACGCATTGTGCTGGTGTCGTGGCAGGTACCTGGCGAAGCTGTCTTCAGTGGGGAGCATCTCCGAGGAGGAGACCTGTGAGAAGCTGAAGGGTTTGATCCAGCGCCAGGTGCAGATGTGCAAGAGGAACCTGGAGGTGATGGACTCGGTGCGGCGCGGAGCCCAGCTGGCCATCGAGGAGTGCCAGTACCAGTTCCGCAACCGCCGCTGGAACTGCTCCACGCTGGACACCCTGCCTGTCTTCGGCAAGGTGGTGACACAAGGTGAGCTGCAAGGACGTGTCTGGGGTGATGCTGCCGGGGGGAATGGCTAGAAAAGCAGTGTGGTGGGCTGCGGGTGGGATATTTTGGCTGCTTGCCCCTGAACTGGTGGCTGGGGAGGGTCAGGAATGGCTCATCCAGTGTTGGATCTTGGGGTGGATGGGTCCCTGTGCACTTCAGCAGGGCTCTGTTCGCTGTGTTGGGTACAGCAGACTCCTGCTGCTCCTCAGCTCTCCTGAACCTTTCTCACACCCATTGACAAGGACATGCCAAGTTTGAACAAAGGTCCTAAAGTCACCCTGTGGTCTCCTCTCTTCCCCACCAAACCCAGGAGCTCCACTCCATAAAGGCATGGGTGCATTTACTCAGTCTCTCTCTGGGCAGTGCTGAAGCAGTGGCTGCTGCCAGGCTGGCATGTGGCCACTCTTGAGCAGAGCATCCAAGGGGACACCATCAGGAGGATGGCTCAGTGCCACCTGGCACGGGAAGAACATGTGGCAGCATCATCACCTGCCACCAGCCTTCAGGGCTGGGTACAGCCAGGGCAGCCCCCAGCCCGTCTGATCCCAGCTGCACCCTGACTTCCCAGCAGCACAGGACTGTAATCAAACCCGAGCACTGGAGTGAGGAAACAGAGGGGAAAATGCTTCTGCCACCCCTTAAGATCACTGAAGCATCCCTTGCCTCCCCTCAGGTGCTATCTCTGAGGCACTATCTCACCTCCCATCCCAGGACCCCTAGACCAAAGCATCCCCCTGGCTCCTTACTTGACTTTCCTCCCCTCAATGCAGGGGTGAAGGTCTCTTCTTGTGAAGGTTCAGGGATTGGAAATACCAGAAATACCAGAAACTAAGTCGTCTCTTTTTAGGCAGCCACAGCCCAAACCGACCAACATGATCCTACTATTAACCTCGATTAACTTGGAGGCGGTTCAGTCCCCACACTGGCTGGTTCCTCCCCAGCCACTGCCAGCTGGGCCACCAAAGTCTGGGATGCGACCACCAAAGTAGCTGCCCTCTCTCTGACCGGCAAGCTGAGTGATGCCTGCTCACAAGCCATCCCCCCTCTGTACCAAGCATGGGAGCACCCCAAATACCATCCCAAATACCATCCCAAATACCACCCCAAATACCACCCCAAATATCAGCCCTCCTTGCTCAGAAATGGAGGATTTGTGTCCTCAACCAGCCTCGGAGGATAGTGGGGATTTATGTGTTGCTGAAGATGATCCCTGCCCCTGTGTGTTCACACCCAGGCATGTGCCCAACTTCCCAAACAAGCTTTTCTCAATCATTTGGCACCACATAGGTAGACACAAGAGCTGGGACTGCATTGCACCCTGGACACCAGTGGGGTTGTGTGAGGTGCTCTGGGAGCAGAACAGGGTTTTGCAGGGTAGTTTGGGAGGCATTGTGAGTTCCAGGACCCTGTGAAAGAGGATAGCAAGGATCTGCAGCTGCAGGGAATGTTCCTGGATGTGGAAAGCAGACACTTATTTTGGATGCAGGAAAGATTTTATGGCAGAGGTGCCCTGCAAGCACAAAGCAAGACAGTTTTCCATATAAGCTCTGGAGAGCTCTGCCCACATTGGCAGTGCAGCCTCTGTCTCTTCTATTGCCAGGTTTTATCATTCACCCATCATTCACGTTTTCAATGTTGTGGAGCAGTTCCCAGCTTCTTCACTATTGCAAGAATGGGCCCTCACTTCTGCAAAACCTCTCCCAGCACCCAGGGGTCTCTGATGAGTCAAGCCCAGGCTTGGCACTAAGCAAACGGCATTCCTGGGGGTGGGGACAATGAGGGTCCTGCATGTGCTGTCTCATCTTAGGAGGAAGTGACAGAGCAAAGGGGTTAGCCTGATAGCTCTGTATAGCATGGTTTGCCAAGACCTGTCTTTCAGACCAGCTTTTTGGGGGGACATGCCACACCAGAGTTAAGAGGGGAGAGGAGAAGAGACACATGTGGCAGTGTGTTGGACCCCAGAAACCTGGAGTTCTTGAGCTTTCTGTGCTTTCTGACACAGACCCCCTGAAGAACACTGCTTTTGACCTGAGGCCTTGGAGAAGGCTTCTAAATATGAGTGATGGAGTAAAAATCACGAGTGTGTAGTGAATCAGAAGTGTGTGATTTCACAGGGTGATGGGTTTTAAATTTGAGGTTAGTATAGTAATAGGTATGGGACACCATGGTGGATTTTAGGCATCTCTTTCTTCGTTCATCTTTCTTCTTCCTCCTTCTTCATGATTTCAGGTAGTAGTTTCTGGCTGGTCAGTGAGTGTCACTCTAAGGGTCATGGGAATTTAGTTATGGGGTTAAAAGTATAAATAATATGGGTGTTAATTCTCTATTGGACTGTTTAGCTTTAAGAGACCTTGTAGCAGCTGGATCTTCCTCCATTTTCTTCACTTCTAGCTGGTGGCTAGAAGTGCTGTTGAACACTCTGTGCTTTTTGGTAAGATTTAATAAACAACCAAGCCCAAACACGAGAAAATCCATTTCCATCGTGGTTTTGTTAATCCTGTCTCTGAGTGAAGGCAGAAGAGACTGAGACAAACCACTAATTAAATAGTGCAAAACTCCCACCGCTGTTACAGCAGCCCACCGAGAATTCCCAGTGGCGTTGCCTCGGACCTTGTGCCACCTTTCCCCCGTGCTTTGTGCCCTTGCAGGGACGCGGGAGGCAGCGTTCGTCTATGCCATCTCCTCGGCAGGGGTGGCCTTCGCCGTGACCCGCGCCTGCAGCAGCGGCGAGCTGGACAAGTGTGGCTGTGACCGCACAGTGCAGGGGGGCAGCCCGCAGGGTGAGTGTCTGAACGGGGGCAGCTGCAGCTGCACGGGGAGGCCAAGTAGGCAAAATACCTGCAGCTCAAACCCGCTCTCTGGAGCCGTCCGGAAAGGAGGGAAAAGTTTTAAAAAAATGAAACTCTGGTTAGTCCACGGGACTGCCTCAAAAAGGCACCTGGGTGCATCGCCCACAGGACGGAAAGCATCTTGTCCGTGGGTTCCCCAGGACCACAGTCCCTAGCTTCCCCTGATACACTGCAGACCAGTAGGCAGCAAGACAGAGAGGGGGCAGGCCAGCTGGATTTTAGGAAGAGCAGGGCTGGAGAGTGCAGGCACTACAGGGTGGCAGTGCCTGTCTCATCTGTGCTCTCTGCCCCAGGCTTCCAGTGGTCGGGCTGCTCCGATAACATCGCCTACGGCGTGGCCTTCTCGCAGTCCTTCGTCGACATCCGTGAGAGGAGCAAAGGGGCCTCTTCCAACAGAGCCTTGATGAACCTCCACAACAACGAGGCAGGGAGGAAGGTAATGGCAGGGAGGGAACCCAGGCAGCTCTGCAGTATCCCAGCCGGGCCATTTGGGCTTCCTTTAATCCCATACCCACCCTGCAGTGTATTCTGCACAGCCCTTCCATTGTGCCCTCCCTGCTGCATCCATCCTGCTGATCACCCCCTCTCGTTCCTTGTGTCTGTTCCTGCAGGCAATCCTGAACAACATGCGGGTGGAGTGTAAGTGCCACGGTGTGTCGGGCTCCTGCGAGTTCAAGACGTGCTGGAAGGCCATGCCCCCCTTCCGCAAAGTGGGCAACGTCCTCAAGGAGAAATTCGACGGAGCCACAGAGGTCGAACAGAGCGAGATTGGATCCACCAAAGTGCTGGTGCCCAAAAACTCCCAGTTCAAGCCACACACAGACGAGGACCTCGTCTACCTAGACTCCAGCCCCGACTTCTGTGACCACGACCTCAAGAACGGGGTCCTGGGCACCAGTGGGCGGCAGTGCAACAAGACCTCCAAGGCCATCGACGGCTGTGAGCTCATGTGCTGTGGCCGTGGCTTTCACACGGACGAAGTGGAGGTTGTGGAGAGGTGCAGCTGCAAATTCCACTGGTGCTGCTCCGTCAAGTGCAAACCCTGCCATCGGGTGGTGGAGATCCACACGTGCCGGTGATGCACCCACCTCTCCCCTCTTTAAGTGACCCTGCTTCTCCCTTGCCCCACAGCCAGGACTGAGGAAGTGACCCAGATGCTGAAGGGAGAGCACAGCTCTTTACAGAGACAGAACCACAGAGAAAAACAGATTTTAAAGAAAAAAATATTTAAAGTTTAAAAAAAAAACCTGATCACTGTTGGCTTTTTTTTATTTTGTTTTGTCTCCTTTGCTGTATTTATTGCTTGGTGTCCTGTGCCAGCAGACACGTTTGTTCTCTGGCTGTCTGGGGACCTGTGTGATGCCAGCTCCTGTCGAGTGGGCTCCTGCTGCTTTTGGAGTGCTGCAGACAAGAAGTGTGTAAGGCAAGGGTAGTGCAGCATTTGAAATCTTCTATCACAGTTATTTTTGTTGGTTTAAAGGCACATGTTGAGCATCCTGGAGCACCACTGCCCTGGCTAAGCCTCAGGAAGCAAAGGAGCACAGCCAGCCTGTGCAGCCAGGTGCATGGCAAGGGACAGGCAGGTGGTGACAGGGTGGCACTGTCCTCCAAGAGTTAAGTTCCACATGGAACCAGGGTGATCCGTTTATGAGGGCCGTGTGAGACACTCCTGCACCTCCTTGTTGTGGGATGCTCAAAAGCCTCCTGGGCAATGGATGGATTTTGGAGCAGCTCCAGTGACTGCTCTGGTTTACAGAAGCTCCTCAGTGGCTGCGTAGGGCTGTTGGAGGACACGATGGTCCCACCATGCTCCCTTTCCCCCATCTCTTCTCCAGTACCTGGTTCCACTGGAGACAGGGAAGGGCAGTGATACCTGCAATCCACTGACTCTTAATGGACCTGGGAGCTGATGGGAAAAAAAACAAGTTGATTTCTTCTCTGTCCCATAATTTCCCCCACCTCTCATGCATCCCACAACAGGTCTCCTGTTCTCCTTACTCAAGAAGGCACTGGGGGACAGTCCCTATCCTGCTGAACGCTGATAAAAGCAAAACTATAAAGTGGAGCAGTTGGTGGGGTGGAGGAATGCTGGTGCTCTGCCCCTATTACTGTCTCACCCTTCAAAGGCACAAGAGAAGAACTCAGCCAGAGGATGCTGCCATGTGTGCCCTGGTCACAGAGATTTAGTGCAGCAGGGCCCCAGCTGTCCTGTCCTGCTCCCTGGGACATTGCCATGAGGATAAGGTGCTGCCCTGCCTGCTCTGGCTTCCCTCTGCCTAGAACTGGGTTAGTGCAGAGTCCTTGCTGTTGGGCTGCAGTACGAAATATTTGGAGAGCTAATAAGTAGAGGGGCACTGCAAGGGAAGGTGGAAAATGAACCAGTTCCTCTCTCCCTCACCCACTGGTCTATGAGTCAATAAGTAAAAAAAAAAAAGAGAAAAACCTCAAAATGGCACCTCAAGCCAACAGGTGAGGAGTCAGCATTGCTGAGTCCTGTGTAGGAGGGAGCTCCCTGCACAGTCCAGGGAAAGCCCAGAGCCGTGGCCAAGGAGGGGGTCCCTGCAAAACCTGCAGTCTTCTTGTTCTTCCTTGAGAGAGAGGTTGGGGGAATGCACAGGGACATGTGAAATCCCCTCTGTGCCATGGCAGTGATGGGCTGGGGAGAGCCTGTGGTCACTGGAAGGTCTCCAGACTCCATCTGCTGACTTGAAGCAGTGCAGGGTGAGGGAGGTTTGCATTAGGGCAAACCCCAGCACACCCCAGCTGCCTCTCCTGCCTGCTCAGCACCAGTTCCAATAAACCTCCAGCAAAATGTGCCAGGTGGTGGGGAGGGACACCCTAGGTGGCTCCTGAGGTGGAGCACTGTGGTTGATCCATTTCAGTGCAAACCAGAGATCTCCTCACTCCAGCAAGGTTTGCCTCTTTCAGTTGGCCAAGGGTGAAGCATTAAATCTCCAGGGGGAGAGAATCTCATCTGTGCCTCCCCTGGTTCATCTCTTCAGCCCCTCAAGGCTGCAAATCCTCAAGTACCTTAGAGACAGTTCTTGCCTTCCCAGCTCATGCAGAGGAGGTCACAGACCTCAGGCCATTGGCCAAGTCTTCTACTCCTTGTTCATCTAGGATGAGGGCCAAAGCTGAACAAGACAATCAAATCAGCATGGAGATAATCTCTGCACATGGGATTTTTTTCAGGCTGCAATGAAAGCTAAGCCCTGCAAATGCCACCCAGAGATAGTTTGGCCCTGCAGCACTCTGGCTCTTCCCATAACTGTGACTTTCAACACCGAGGGGGGTTTAGAAATGTGTTTTTATATTTACTTCGTCTATTAAATAATGACTTTGTGCTGAACCAGCCATGAGGTTTTCCTGTCCTGAAATCAGCTCCACTGGGCTGTGTAAAACCATAGCATGCTGCAAACACCTCATGGCTGCTGGTCTCCTCCCAAGAGTCCTTAGCTGGGAGGAGAGGTGCCCACACGGTGCCTCCTGACAATGCTAAGAGAGCACTAAAGCTCCCCTTGTCCCTCCTCCAGTCTCTCCTCAGGAGATGCTGGTGTTTGGACCACGGGCAGCATCCCTGCTTTCCCTTCAGTGGAAGTACAGCTTGCTTCTGCCTTAACCACTTGACACACCACTAGCTTAAGAAGTAACTTTTTTTTAGGTTTCAGCAAGTCTGTGACTTCCTCCTGTGCAGAGGGCATCAATATCAGTCTGCTTAGAACAGTGCTGCCCTGCCATGCCCACAGCCAAGGAGCCACAGCTACCTGGTGTGCTGCTGGAAGCATCCTGCCAGTGGGCTTGAGGTGCATTTGAGCTGGGAGAGGGGCAAGAACTGCCCTTAGATGCCAAGTCAGGGACCTGCTGCCTTTTGCCTCCCTCACTGTGCTGCAGTTTGCTGCATCTGGAGGGGATGCAGTGCCTGGTACTCGGGTATGCCCCAAGCTGCCCACAGTGCAATTTGCTTGTCCCTTGTCCTTCCCCCAAGCCAGGAGCATTGGCTGCATCTTTTTTACACTGTTCCCTACAGTCTGGAGCTTCTTCAGCAGGAATTGCTGCTGAGTCCAGCTGTACACTCTGCTTGTCCCCTTTCTTTAGCTGTAGCTCTCCATTTGTGTGCTCTCAAAGCTCTTCTTTTCATAAGCTCATGGTAAAACCAATGTCTTCTCTCCCTTCGGCCTCTGTGGTGGCAGGGATTGAGGGATATTTTGTTAAGTTTAACTTGTTGCAGAGAGAGGATGGTAGATTGGGAGAAAATGATGCCTGAGCCTCCCAAAACCCCTTATTTCCAACAGCTTCTCTCTTCCCCTGGTGGATCCCACTCCTCCAGCTTCTTTTCCTCACTCCAGCTGCAGCCTCAGGTAGGGAATTGTCTCCAGTGAAAAAAAGATGTCTCACTCTTCTCCTGAAACGAGGTGTAGGGAGACACTGGCTTCTCTGTGACCATAGACAGAGCAAGATATTTGTGTTCTCCTGTTCCAATGCCCTCTGCCTACTCTACCCATCCCCTGCATCCCACACACACATCAGACCACATCACACCATGCCTCTCTGCACCACTGCATCCTGCCACGTGCTCGGCCCCATTCCAGCCCCACAGGCCCAGCTCTAGGTCCTCATCCTCAGTCCCCCAACAGCTTCTCCTCAAGCTCATCCCTCCTCTGATAACTCACAGGCTGACAGCTCTACCCAGCCTCTCCTCCTCATAAACCTTCCTGGATGTCCCACTGCCAACTTGAGATCATCATAGCAAAAACAGGGCATCTCCTCCAAGTCCTCTCCACCCTGCTCCGAAGGATAAATTCACTTTTTTTTTTTCCCATTCCCCAAACTCCACCACCATGATTTGCTTCTTCTGTTTTCTTCACCTTTTCTACTGGAAAATCCACCTGGGTCTCAGGTACCTTCAGCCTCAGCTATTTCAGGCTCTGGGCTTTACATTTCCCAGCTCTCCATCCCATCTCCATCCCTGGATCTTGGATCTAGTCCAAGCCCAGCACAGCCAAGCACGTGGGCAGAGCTGATATTTTTCCCAGCTGTTTTGACCACATCACCCTCATGCCCATTCCTGGCCAAGGACACTTCCATTACTCCCAACTATCTCATTCTCCCTCCCTGGGCATGTTCAGCCTCACCCACTGCTCCTTGCAAAGCAATTCAATCACTGTGGGTGACATTAATGATGCTGACAGAGCATAAGTTAGCACTCACATCCTTTCCCTCCCTCACACCATCAGTGAACATTACAGCAAATCCCTTTGCATATTCCTTCAGCAATGAGCACAGTAATTCTCCTGCATCTCCTTTTCTCCCTTTATCCACAAGACTTTTACCAGCTGGCTTCTAGGGAAGCAAGGTGATGCTTGAAAGAAGAAAAGCAGGAAGTGTCTAGGACCACCATGGAGATACCTCAAGGACAGAATGGTGTCTCCCTGCATGGGCAGGTGAAGAAGAGGATCAGTTTTCCTTAGAGTTGCCACACCACACACGTCATGTCACCATGGGCATGACTGGCCTCACATCAGCTTGGCACAGGAGAACCCAGGCTGGGGTGACCACCACTTCCACCTGCACTTGCTGAAGATGCCAGTGGTGCCTTGGCCGTGCTGTGTGTCCTTCAGCAGCGCTAGGCTGCAGCACAAGGCCATGCTGAAGGACAGACACCCGGCAGAAGCAGAGCCTTGGACAGCAGCGTGATACCGTGACGGCAGGAGGGCGCCCAGCCAGAGCTCCTCAGAGAGGCCTCCCGACCCTGGCTGCCAAAATCCTGCTTTAAGCACAGCAAAATAAATTGTGCAACCTGCCTTGGACTGAATGGTAGCAATCACTGTGGGTGGAGGGGGGAAAGAGGCAGGGGCTGGGCTGAGGATCAGGCCCTGTGTCACAGCGTTTCGGCTGGACCACACCAACACCTGGAGCTTGAGCAGCACCTGCACCAGGCTCTGCCCTTCCCATCCCTCACAGGTATGGCCAGGGCTCCTTAGCAGGGATCCAGAGAGGCAGCCACATGCAAGCCCCATCCTTGTGCCTGTGCTCAGTCCTCTGGAGCTGTCATCTCTCCTAGGCTGGTTTCCAGACCCAGCAGCATATTCCTTCTCCCATCCCAGATCTGACCATCAGTATTTCCTCAAGTGCATGTGCAAGGAGTGTTGCCTGGGTAAGCTCCATACACTGTGGATCCCCAAACTGCTCTGGCAGTGCCTCAACACTAGATGTTTGGTGCAGAGGAGCTCAGTGATCCACCAGGATCCTCTCCTTCCAGCTCTTCAGCACCACAAACGAAAGCATAAATTGCAAGCCTTAATTAGAGTCATTTGCTCAGCAGTGCAAAAAAATAACCCACCCCAAACCCCTCAGTGGCTGTTGAACCTACTTGTTCCTCTTGGCTCTGTTCTAGGACAGTTGTTGCATTATCACAGCTTTGCCCCCCAAATTTACATGGGCAGATAGTGAT